GTGCTCGGCAACTAAAGATGCGCTTTCAGATACCTGAGAAGGGCAGAGCAGTGAAAGGGAATGAAAGGCCTCAAACAAATGAATTTCTGATAATTATTAAGACTAAACCAATGTGATGTATGACAGCTTTGCTTGTGCTTTGCTTTGTTTGATTCAAAGCTTTGCTTGTGTTTTCCTTCATTTGTTTCTCAAGGACTCCTGACTCCTCAGCTGTTTCTTGAGGTCTCTTTGTTTAGGTAAGATGGAAACGCTCATTGGGCTCCCAACAGAAATCATTGATACCAGACTCAAGGACTTCAGTGGCCACTTGGGCAACTCCTAGAATGAGATAAGGGGGGCTCAAAGAAAGAGACACAGAGACCCTATTACATGGAAAATGATTCTGATTTAGGAGGGAGATACCTGGACTTTGCTTCACAGCTCATGCTCTGGAAAAAAGGCCAACTAGCGAACACTGTGAAGAAGACTGCTTACTTCTTCCCTCAACCACTGAAGACCCTCACCCTATTTTCACTATGCATGCTCAGACTATGTAAATGAATTCTGGGAATTTATTATCATAAAACACCACTTTCTAGGAAATCTAATGAATATGTATGATTTTGTGTGTGTAAACTGATGTCCCTTGCTAGTTCTTGGGAGCCCTTATGGTGGAGAATCCGCAGGGTGACCCCAGCGCTGCTAATAAAGAATTCCTGCTGAACAGTTCTGTTGGATTCTGACTGGTGAGTGAATTTCTTTGTTTCACCAGCATGACACGTGAAGATGATCCCCCTGTACAGCCACCATGCTCCACTTGAGGACAGCCCTTCTCCTCATGCTGCACCTCATCCTCTCCCAGCATTTGTGGCAGGTGCACCCGCCCAATGAAAATAGGGCTTCTTGGCTGCTGAAGTGCAGCAGCTATTCACTGCCTTTGTTCTCGGGGCTTCATGGTAGTTGGGGCCTTTGGCCAATGGGAGCCGCTATTGGCTACAGGTCAGATGGGGCCTGGGTGTAAGTGGATTCCCCTGGGAGAGCCATTTGAGCTCATCCACTGGTGCAGCACGCTGCAGTTGAGGACTCTTCCCTTGGATTTGGATGCCTCCCAAGGAAACTCCTTGAGGTGACACTGCCCTGAACAGGTCACAGAATCACAGAATCACCTCAGTTGGAAAAGCCCTTAAAGCTCCTCCAGTCCAACCATGAACCTCACCTTGACCGTTCCCAACTCCACCAGATCCCTCAGCGCTGGGTCAACCCAACTCTGCAACCCCTCCAGGGATGGGGACTCCCCCCTGTCCTGGGCAGCCCATTCCAACGCTCAACAGCCCCTTCTGAAAAGAAATCCTTCCTAAGAGCCAGCCTGACCCTGCCCTGGCACAGCTTGAGGCCATTCCCTCTTGTCCTGGCGCTTGGTCCTTGGCTCAAGAGACTCATCCCCCCTCTCTGCACCCTCCTGTCAGGGAGCTGTAGAGGGCCAGGAGGTCTCCCCTCAGCCTCCTCTTCTCCAGACTAAGCCCCCCCCAGTTCCCCCAGCCGTTACCCATCAGACCTGTGGTCCAGACCCTGGTCCTTGAGGTTGAGAGCCCTCACTTGTTACGCGAGTGATAAAGCATTTTGGGTTGTTGTTAAACCCTAGGGAGTGGTGCTTTGTTCTGCATTTTGGGTTTTCTTAAACCCTAGGAAGTTGTGCTTTGTTCTGCATTTTGGGTTGTCATTACCCACTAGGAAGTTGTTCTGTTCTCCTCTCACAGACATTCAAAACTGTAATTTGCAGAGGGCTAGTTAATTGTGTTGACAATACATTTTTAAATTTTGGTGGTTGGTTGTTTATTTGAGAGCCTCCATAACAGCATTGCACAAGAGTCATCTTGCCTACTCCCAACAGGCTGCACAGTGCTGAAGGAAAGGAAGACCCTAGTGGCAGAACATCAGGCAGGTGCTCCTGAGCATCTTTTGGTTTTCCCTGGTTCACTGCAAGGGAGCAGGGAGCTTCTGAGAAACTCTGCAGCCTCTGTCTTGCTTTGCATATTGTGTAACGCATAGTGTAGCTATCTGACAATATGGGGCACCCTCTGTTATTAACAGCATCATAATTTCCTGCTCTCCTTTCTCTTTTGCAGAGGGCATGATGAAATGTGCTATGGAGCTGGAAGGGATTCTGGTAGGAGAGGAGGTCTGTGGAGTCGGTAGTAGGCAGGATGTTAACCCTCCGTCCTGTCTGCACTACAGTTGGGAAGACTCTGAAGGCACTGCCCGCTGGAGAAGATCTTGCTGAGCCCTGGTCCTGTGGAGACGCATGCAGGTCCATGAGGGAGGAGATTGTGCATGGAAAGGGAAGGGCTCATGGTTTTTGATATTACTTATTCTTACTGAGTTCTGTTAACACTCTTCCTGTTTCTGCCCCCCTAATTGGAATGTAGAAAATTATCCTAATTGAGTGAAGAATCTGACTTGGTAAGGGCAGCGTAGTTAAGGCTTGTACTTATGTGCAGTACTCATGGAGCAGGATGGCTCCTGTCTGTCTTCTGCACCAAAGGTTTTGGAAGATGACTGCAGGCATTGCCTGCTTCAGGATCCTTGGTGCCAGCATTTCCCAGCTGGAAGGAAAGTGTGAAGGAGTTCACCTTGTGTCCATTCGGCTTCATCAGTGCTAGCAAACATGAGAACTAGAATAGAAATGAAAGGGAAGGAAGCAACAAGTACGTGCCATTGCGCAGTCATGAGGCAAGAGGAGAGGAAGACTCGAGTCTGGAGAGGAACTGAACATCAGTAAGAGTGTGTAAGAGATGAAGAAGTCCAGAGGGGAAAGAAAGAGAAACACAGAGCCTCCACTCTTGTGGATCTTGTACCAGAAGAGTTTTGTTTTATGACCCTCTTGTCAGCAAATATCCTGCTGATGGTCTGTTTTCCCATGTGAGACCTCAGCTGTGCTTCACGCAGGCATTTCTGCTGGCTGAGGGAGAAGAGCTCCGGTGAACATCCTTTCCCTCAGGAGATGCGCGTGGCTGAGCTGTGCATGCCCAGCACAGGGGGTCCAAGGGACAGTTGGGGTTGGGAGAGGTGCAGCCAAAGCCAAGTGTTTAGGACTCTGCCCTCTTCCTGGTAGAGATGCCCATGGGGCTTTGGGAGCACACCTGCTGTGTGGAGAGGTGCAGGATCAGCCCAGGAGCAAGCCAGTGTCCCCAAATTCTCAGCATCACTTGCTTTCTCCAACCCTCCTTCAGTCTTTGACCCAGGAGCATCCTGTGGGACAGGCTCCGCCGTCCTCTTCTGCTCCCCGTGCTGCAGTGAAGGTGGTGTTGGGAGCATGCTCACTGGTGGTAGAAGATGATCCCAGTAGGTCACTGCGCTCCAGACTCTGTTTTGGAGAGGGCTGTGGTAGTAGGCCCCCATCTTTCATGCTCAGTTTGGGCTCTGTCATCTTGGGAAACAGGGAGAAAGCAGGGATGGGAGGAAGGGGGCACGGAAAATGGGAGGAGGTGGCCATGTAATGGGGGTGATGCCTTTGGAGAAGGGAGGATGCTGGGTCCAGCTTCAAAATGGGGCAGGAGGTTGATTATTGAAAATGCTGACAGGAAACTAAAGCAGAGGAAATGGCAGGTGGGAGCAGGTTTTGCTCTGAGCTAAAGAGGAGGAGAGGTGGCAGGCAATGGAGAGCCTGTGGGGAGCAGCAGAGGTTGCACCCACAGAGGTGGGGGACACAGAGGGGCCTGTGCCCCTGCCTGTGCTGCCCACATCCCTTTGGTGGCAGGGGTGACACAAGCTGCGTCTGACGTGGTGGACATTCCTGTCCTGGTGTCCCTCCTGCCAGAGGTGGTAGGGGGATGCAGGGGGCCGCCTGGAGCACCCCATCCCCACAGAGCAGGAGCCAGGACCTGCGTGCTCATGGCCAGAGCAGGGGGCAGGGGGCTGCAGGGGTCCCTGCCTGGCTGGGGCTTGTACATCCCACGTGAGAGGAACCAGAAAGCCCTGAACAAGCCCAGCCCCGTGTCAATCCGCAGTGGTCCTCGGTGTTTGGGGACTGGCAGGGTGTGGGGATCCCCACCTGAGCTCAGCTAACACACTGTATGGGGTGGACATCACACTGTCACCCCCCCGTGACGCAGCATGACTCTCCAAGGGTTCCCTGGCTTAAAGCAAAGAGGACTCGGGTAGTGTGGGGAGGCGGTGCTGTAGGAAATTGCAAAACCCTTTCCCCTTGCACCTGCCTATGCCAGCGACAGGGAGCTACTGGGCTATGACCTAAAATGCTGGGAAATGGCCATCAGCAGTGCTCGGCTGTGTTATTTGGGTCTGTCTCAGGGCTGAGGGCTCATGGCTGGGATGAAACCGCAGGAGGAATCAAACAGTGAAGAGGGGAGATAAAAATCAGGCTGAAGCAAGAGAAGAGGAAGAGAGGGGGAAGCACAGAGGGAACTGCCTGGCTGAGTGATGAGGAGGCAAGCTCCCAGAAGGGCTGCAGCTTGCCCCTGCTGAGCAGTGACCCTCACGCTGCAGGGAGAGACTGATCCCGCCGGGCACCCAGCATCGTTGCCGTGAGTCTATCAGGAAGGCATCATGGAGGTCCAGATGGCTGGTGGCTTTCTGCCCCTGCTGCTCCTTGCCTGGCTGCCTGCTGGTGAGTTCCCCTGTGCCCTCACCTCTGCTCTGAACTCTTCTGTAGGAGGTTTGGGACATGGCTGCTGCTGCTTTTTACTCTCCTCTTAGAACATTTAACCCCTACTTCTGCACCAGCACCTTGTCACTTCCTTGCAGAGGGTTCCCCCTCTGCAATTGTCTGCACTCAGGCTGTGGGCTCTGCCCATGGGGACCAAATTTCAGGCTTCAGGGCTTTGAACCAGCATTGCCTTCAGCAGCAGGGAGAGAAAACTGTTGGGGAGGGTGGGAAGGAAATAGAGATGCTTCTGAGCCCAATGACTGAGAAGGGGGCCAGCTTCACACAGAGGATGTGGATACTCCTTAACACTAACCCAACCCTCCATGGTTGATTTTTTCTTTGGTAGGACTCGTTCACCAGATTCCACCCACGATCGATGTGTCAGTAAGGTTAGATCTCATCTTGCAGTGTCTGGTCCAGCCAGGCTCAAACAGCACTGCTGGGAAGGTGAAGGGGCTTAATACCATGCAAAAGAATGGAAAAAAGCAGAATGAAGGTGGTGTGGAGATGAACGAGAGTTCTGCCTGTCCCATCTTCACCAATGTGAACAACGCTTCTATGGGAACATGCACATGCAGGGTGGAGAACATGACAAACGTGTCTGAGAACAGACATTCTGATCAGAACAAGCACGGTAAGAGACACAACGCACCAACACCTATAGGAGCAGGGAGAAAGGACTGAGGAAGGGGGGAAAGAAAGGAATGAAAGGGAGGACTGCTGAGAAGCTGTGAAGTGACTTCAGCTCAGAGGTTCAGGAGCAATTCTGAAGTACTCCAGAGAGCATTAGGGGATGGGATGAAGACAGAGAGGCTGGGGGTGGGTCCACTACATTTTTTTTGCTTCTCTAGGACTGACCATTTCCCCAGAGCTAGCCCCCTAATCCCACCTCACACTTCATGAAATGGTGGAACCTGAGCCCACGGCCTTGGTGGCATGTCCTGCTTGGGTGCCACAAGACCCTTCTGCCTCTGTTGCAGGAGGAAGAGGTGTTTTCCCCCTGATCCTCCCATTTTTAATTCTTTCTGAGACAGAGAAATTCTTGTGCACTGCACAGCATTGTGTGTCATCATTGTGCAGTTTTTCAATATTTAATGTTGAGGAACACTTAGCAACCAGATTTGGAAAAAAAACCAAACATCAACTGCTAGAGGAAAGGACAGTTACATCACTGTATCTCTTATGCGTGACGTGCTAGTGGGATGCAACCCTTTCCAAGGTCATATATATGACTTACGTTTCACTTATCACTTATATTTTTGTCTCTTTCAGGGACAGTCAGCCAGCCAAAAGAGTCAGTCATCACCATGAAGTGCAGCTTCAAGATTTGGTTGGAGAATCCTGTGGTACATGTGAAGTGGTACAAAAATCCGTGTCTGGAGGTGAGGAATCAAACCAATACCACAGCTCTGGGAAAAAACTGTACCAATCTCACCATGTGTGCAGCCAGCACAGAAATCTGTGGGTTTAGGATGTTCATCAGAAGAATAAACTTGACGGACACTGGACACGGCCCACAGGGGACAGTTCCCAGTAAGTGGCACCACTTCTGTTTTCATGAGAGTGATGAGTGGGCAGAGAAGGATGCTACAACCAACACCCCCCGGTACCCCCGTGCACCATTTCCCCCAAAAGTATCCTGGGCACTGGAGGAGCTGACAGAGCACGGTCTTTTTGGCAACATACCCCACCACAGAGCTGCTTGGCCATCGGGTCCCTGAAACAGGACCTGCCAGATCCTCCAGCTGCAGTGCGTCAACTGAATGCTGAGGTGGTGGGGGCTGCCACGGCGGGAGTGGGACCGTTGGGCCTGTGGGTGTGAGGAGCAGGCTGTCCTCTGCCTCTGGGCTGTCTCTCACTTGTGTTTCTGTCTTCCAGGCTGTGGCCCATCTCAGACCAATGTCACCAAGGTGGAGGCCTGTACAGGTGAGTCCCCACAGCCCCATGGCTGCAAGGGTGGTGGGCAGGAGGGGCCCTCAGGGAGAAAGAGTAGCACTAAGGGGCTAATACATCTTGATGTTTTCCCATGAGTGGGTGGGAGCCGCTGGCAAACTGGGATACACACCAGCGGATCAGAGGCTGCGAGCTGGGAGAGTGCTCTGATGCTCTGAGCACCCCCTGGCTGAGTTCAGATGAGTTTTTGGAGACCATTCCCCACAGGATTTTGTCAGCACCCCAGGGCTATGGGGGCTGTGGGTGGTTCAGGGTCTGGAAGCCCAAGTTTGGAAAAGAACTGCCTCCTGTCAAAAGAGGCACCATCAGCATGTGTCCCCGTGTGGTGGGATGGCAGCTCATGAGTGCTTCTGTGATGGTTTGTGTGTGCAGGACTCAAATTCTTCACATGTATCATCTTCGGCTTGGCGGCCGGGACGTTTCTTTACATGCCGATAATTGGCCTTATGCTGTGGCAGTGCAGAAGGAACAGCAAAGGTAAGGCTGAGCCCACCCCAAGACTCCATCTCCTGTGGGAGCCAGTTGGCATCTCCTCCTCACCAGCTGGCCTGGACAAGCCCAGCCTTGGGAGATATCCATCTTCGATAACCTTCTGCTCCTGCTCACTTGGTGTTTCCTGCATGAGTTTGTCCTCCTGGACAAGCTATCCTGGGGTGAAGAGAAGGTCCACCCTCTGCCCAGCTCCTGGCGAGAGCCTGGTTATGGCACAAGCCATGGTGCAAGTGAAACAGGTCTTGCACATCACCACATTTCCAGAAGTGTTCAGCTCAGGTCCAGCCCCTCCAAAGGCTGTTAACTCCTTGCCAACCCCTCCTGCCCCTTGGCCACCTTCAGAACCAGCCAGCTGCAGAGCCCCATCTTCTTCTGCAACAAAAGCAGGATAAATGCAGGTGTTTTCTTAATTTAATGATCATCATAATTATTTTAACTACTATTTAAACCATCTTTCCTTTTCCAGGAAAGCTCTCAAGCAGGCAAGTGGCTACAGAGAATCAGCTTGGCATGGTAAGCAGGGAAGGCCTCACACATATCATTTCCTTTTCCCTGTAGAAAAAAACACTAGCTGTTGAATACCCATTTAAAGGATTTCAGAGTAAAATCAGCTTTGCTTTCTGAAAACGTGGTCCTAAACACTTTTTAATTCCTGTTAAATAGGGGCTTATCACCTTCTGAATAGGTAGTACCTTTGAGCAAGCAGGATAATGCTTGGGCAGTGCAAATAGTTGTGTCTGTGGAAAAATATTAGCAGGGGAGATGCAGAAGGGATGCTCTACTCATTGCTCTCTCTCCTGCAGGCAGCCCCAGTGACAGGGACCGAGGACCTGACCTATGCCAACCTGAAATTTGAAAAGAAGGAGACAAAACCCGCCTCCTCTGATGTTGTTTACACCGAGATCAAACCATCGCAACAACAGCAGAGTGCAGAGGATGCCGGTGCTGCCAACGCAGGGGTGGATGTCTCCACTGAGGGAGAGGGCAAATGAGGGAGAGAGAAGGGACAAGCAGCTTGTTGTACACCTGTCGGGGTCATCATTCCTGAAAATAAGGCATTAGCTCATAAGAAGTACAATCTTGGCGACTAAAGCCACCTATTTGCCCCCAAATGGATGCCACTGTGCTTTACATTCCCCTGGAAGAAGCCATCTCTCGTGGTGAGGACAGGGCTCTTCCAGCTGGTTTTCCCTTTGTCTCCCCGCAGCCCCAAGTACTGTCAGGCCTTGGCAACTCCTTTCATGGTCTTTGGTCATTGATGGGCTCCTCTAGCAGTTTGGTCTGTGTTTCAGTGATGTCACGGTGGTCCAGGAAGCACTCAGTGTCTCCTGGGTGCTGGACATGCTGGGTGGGGTGGCCATGAGAAGTTCCTTGTGGTGCTGGAAAAGTCCTGGAGTGATTTTCTCCAGAGCAGGTACCTGTTGTGGCATAGGTTGAACTTGCAGTAGTTCAGTCACTTGAAACACAAGGAGCGGGTATGAAAAGACATCATTTGCTTTGCAGAGGTGCAGCGCAAGTACTGCTGCAGTGATCTACATGGATCTGCTTCATAGCAGGAGTTGACGGGTATCCTCATGCATGTAGAGCTCTCCTGTAATTTTGAAAAATAAAATAAAATAAAATAAAATGTGATGGTTTTGCCCTCAGTGTTTCCAGTTCCATACTGCTGATGGAGACCCAGCTGAAGTCCATCAGAAACAGTCACGAAGCCCTGCAAATTTGTCACCAAGAAACAGTCACTAAGCCCCTGCAGACTCAGTCCAGTTTGAGAGTAGCCTGTGGAAGACATCCCCAAAGCAGTGGCAATGGAGCTCCTGGTGTCCTGGGGGCAGAGCTCAGGTCGTTTGTGGCCAAGAAGACAAGGCAAGGCATACAGAAAAGGAGAAATTGGGGAAAACAATCCCAAATATTGGAGGGAACAACCAGTGGAAAAGGGGGTGGGATGTGAGAGTCAAAATATTGAATTGGGGAGGCTCATATAGGCATCACAGTTGCTGGGGGTTGCTACCCATGGATTCAGAGAAGAACCAGGCTCCACCAAACTGCAGGACATCCTTGCCAGCCTCTTCCTGGATACGTGCAGTCATGGAGGAGGAGGATCCCTAGGCGTGCCCCAGTTTTCCAGGGAAGACCTAAATTAAAGAGGCAGGCACAAAATGCAGCCAAAACCTCAGTGGCAGCTCCTGAGGGAGCTGGAGTAGGAACTGGCATTTGAAGGAGACATGCCAGGTCTCCTCCTGGATGCAGAAAGGAAGCAAGGTGGCAGATGTCCAGAACCTCTCACTGCCCATCACTCCTTGGGGGCTTTTCTTATTTACATGCCCAGAGGTCCATGGGATTTGGCTTAGAGCAGACACTGCTCAGCCACGGCTCCCACCCTGTCCTCATGGCAAGGAGATCCATTGCTTGTGCTTGAGTGGGACATAAGGGTGGCCATCTCGCATGCTCCTGACATGCTGGGGCAGCCAGGGAGGTTGGAGTGGAACAGAAGTCCAACAAGAGATCAGTGCAGCGTCTGCTGGCCACCTTTTAGTCAACAGTCAGCTGAACATGAGCCAGCAGTATGCTGAGGTGGCCAAGAAGGCCAATAGCATCCTGGCTTGTATCAGAAATAGTGTGGCCAGCAGGACTGGGGAAGTGATTGTCTCCCTGTACTCAGCACTGGAGAGGCTGCACCTCAAATACTGTGTTCAGTTTTGGGCCCCTCACTACAGGAAAGACATTGAGGTGCTGGACTGTGTCCAAAGAAGAGCAACCAAGCTGGTGGAGGGTCCAGAGAACAAGTCTTAGAGGAGCAGCTGAGGGAACTGGGGGTGTTTAGCCTGGGGAAAAGGCTGAGGGGAGACCTTATTGCTCCCCACAACTACCTGAAAGGGGTTTGTAGTGAGGTGGGTATCAGTCTGTTCTCCCAAGTAACAAGTGGTAGGATGAGAGGCCTTAAGTTGTGCCTGGGGAGGCTTAGATATTAGGAAAAAATTCTTCACCGTAAGTGTTGTCAAGCACTGGAACAGGCTGCCCAGGGAACTGGTTGAGTCATCAGCCCAGGAGGTATGTAAAAGACATGTAGATGCAGTGCTTAGGGAGATGGCTTAGCAGTGGACTTGGCCATGCTGGGTTAAGGGCTGGACTCAATGATCTTAAAGGTCTTTTCCAATCTGAAACATTCTATAATTCTATATAGCCAGGTTGGGTGGCCATTGGACTGGCCCACTGCAGCCCTTCTCATGTTCTTACAGCATGAAATGACCAATGTTGTCATTTTAAGGAGAAAAGGGTTTTAAACAAGCTGACTTCAACTTAGAGGGACTGCTAGTGACTCCAAGAAGAGCTGAGCAGGACATCTGAGACTTGTATTAAAAGCCTTGGCTATCCTTTGTGGAGGCAAGAGGGAACGCTTCAGAGGAGACAAATACAGCTGCAGGTAAGTTCTTCAGCATCCCACTGAAAAGAAGGCCACAAGGAAAGGAAAATCACAAAGGACATGACAGAATGACATGATCACTAAATTGTGGAAGCAAAATCAGAAGGCTAAGGTGCAAGATGAGTTAAGACTAGCAAAGGGCTGTAACGGGCTCCACATTTGCTTAACAGTCTTGAAAAGTAGAGGAAGGAAAAGGAAAAGCTTGACCCATTGCTTCCCCAAGAGAGAATCACTAGCCAATGAGGTGGAGAAAGCTAGGATGGTTGTAGTGCTGCTTTTTGCATCCTCCCTTACACCCAGGGTTAGTGGGGATCAGCTCTGGGATGGCCTTTTTAACAGGGAACCAGGAAAGAAGCCATGAAATAGCCTTGGAGCAGTTACATGGGTGAGCAAGAGGTGAAGAAATGCAGCCAAGGTTGTTTAAGCAACTAGCTGAGACTATCTCTCGAGATCTCAGGGGCTTTAGCAAGTGCAGGCAGGAAGGGTGGGGCCAGTGTCTTTGTCCATCAGCTATTTGTAAAAAGGTGAAGCGGCTATGGCCAGCGCTGAGCCTTTGAATTTGTTCTCAGAAAGATGCTATAACAAGCAGTTAAGCAAGTGTGTGAAGATAAAGCAGTAATAAACACAACACCCTTCTTGCCCCAAACATGGTACATGCCACCTCCATAGGGACAGAGGTCCCCGTGTTGTCCCCATGTGTGCTCAAGGCAGGTGGGTGAGACATCCGTGATGGGTTTCCATGCCAGTGCAGTGTCCTTGTTGCCTCGCAAGCTCTGCTTGCTGCATGGAGGAACCCTGACTCAGAGAAACAAAAGTGCTGCTTCTCCCAGTTCTGTTTGTTGAGGGGTTTTTTAAGGCAGAATAGTAGCAGCAGGCACCAGGGGACATCATGGAGGAACCACCCAACCTGGAGAAGAGGGCTACCAGGAGTGCAGCCAGGGAGGTCTCTGCAGCTCTCTGGGAGCTGCTGCCTGGTGTAGTCTCCAAGCTCCACACTCACTGTGATGGTGCTTTTGGGTGCTGATCGACAAGTCATCAGTGCTGCAGCCACTGCCAGCCCAGTTCCTGCACAGTCCTCAGCCAAGCCTCCAGCAGAAAGGGCTCAGCAGAACGCAAGGTCTTGAGCAAAGCTGCAGCTCTTCTGAAGCACACAGAGGCTTGGCCTCCACCATGCTCCCCGCCTGCTCTAAGAGCTGCAGGAATCCACGTGGGAAAAAACAGGGATGTGACCTGGGTCACCGTGGGAAAACCCAGAAAGAGCAAAGGGAAAAGGACAAAACGAGCCAAGGAGCAGAAGCGGATGACTGGGAAAGGATGGGTATGGCTGAGGGTAGCAGTGGAGAGGACTCTAGTATACTTGGATAGCATGAGAAAGAGAAGGAGGCACCAGCTCAGAAGAGAAGAGAGAAAACAGAAGAGAATTAGAGAAAGAAGAACAGAAAGAGAGAAGTGGAAGTGGAGCAGAAAAACAGAAGGAGAGGAGAGACCAGAAGAGTCACAAGAAAGGGAAAGACACTGGGGGAAAAAAATGTCTCAGGCCAAGGAAGGCTCGACATTACTTTGCTGTGTGAAAAAGTAGTTAACTTGTTGGGTGATTAATCATATTTCTGCTGGCAAATTCATTGGCCTTTAACAGCTCCAAGGCTCTCAGAGATGTCTGGGCCAGGCACAAGGAGAGGTTTGTTTCCTGCTCTGCAGATGGCACACATCCCACCCTGTCTTGCACAGCATCTCCTCCTCATCCAGGAGAATTTCTCCAGCAAGGAAAGCTACCTGCAGGCATCACATTCATTTAAGAGCAAAGCAGCACAAGATGCAGAGAAAAGCTTCCTGGTCTTTGCACCCGTGGGCCTCTGAAGGCCATCAATGCAGACATGCTTTTCCCAGCAGGAGGAAAAGCAGCTGCCTGAATTCAAGGGGAGGAAAGCAGGCATGCACACCGAGCCAGTCTGAACTCCACAGCTCTTCAGGCCTCCCCGTCAAAGCCGTGCAAAGGGGCATCCCTGAGAGTGAGCACTGAGTCAGGGGTGGGTGTGCTGGGGTGTTTCTCCATGAACAGCTCCATAGAGCATCTTCTGAACAGGCTCCAGGGTAAAGAACATTCCAAGGACGCTAAGAGAGGCAGGAGAAGGGCAAAAAATGCTGCTGATCTCACCTGTCAAGAGGAACAAGCAGAACAGACCCTCAGCTCTATGACACAGTGCTTGACCTGACCCTGAAAAACTGGGGTCATTCACCCTGATTCAGTTTTATTGCTGGGGAAGGTTGGAGAAGCCTCCCTAATTATTTTACCCCCCCTTTTTGTAAATGAGACTATTTCTATACTCCCCAGACAATGCTCACCCGGGCTGGGAGGAGCAGCTGACACACTGAGCTTTGCTGCATGCTGGGGTCAGCAGAGCTGGCAGGAGGACTACCAGGCCAACCTGGGCAGGCACAGCCACTGGAGGGAGGCAGTGGAGCAGAAAAGCTGACAAAAAAAAAACCCTTGGACATGGCGGGAGATGAGAAACAGCCTATCCAGAGCAAACTGGGTAGGAGAGGCACATCCACCCTGCCTGCACAAGGGCCTCTCCTGGTCCCCTGTAACTCTTCCTGCTTATAACCCAGGACCTACATTCATCAAGTTGGACAGCTTTCTGCTCTTCCGCAGCTGGAAAAAAAACCCACATCTGTCATTTTTGTGCTGTACAAGTGGAAATAGGAAGAGGCGAGGTCAGGAAATTCCTATGTCAATGGTCCTGGACTGAATCCTGTGCCCTTGGCCCCTCTTGTCTAGGTGTTGTGGCCCCAGATCCTGTCCCAATGTGGGTGGGATCCCTAGGGCTGCCCCGGTCCCTAGCTTGGAAGAGGAACAGGATGAGGCTGTCAAAGGGCCCATGAGAGAAGAGGGATGTGACCTACAGCCACCAAGAAGGGGACGAGCAGATGCCCATCTTTGCAGTGCCCAGACCTCACGAATCCTGTTTGCTGGCAGCAAAGCACTCCCCAGGGCAGCGGTGCAGAGGGAATGCTTTCAGAGGGCCATGGATGATGCAGTCTCTCAGAAGAATAAAACCACCTGAATGATGCTTCAAAACCATTGTGCAAAGAGTAAAAGATGCACCAAGAGTAGAAGATCTCGCAAGGAAAAGTGTGTGGTAGGAGATAAAGGGCCAACTCCACAACTGGAGTGATGGAAGACAGGCAATGGCCGGATCCAGTGAGGCCTCAGGGGCCTGGCCTAAGGCAGCAGGCACTCGGAGGCCCCAGCTTGCTCTGTGCCACAGCAAGGTGTGAGGTTTAGTCCTTTCTGTTCTCAGCACTCTTGTTTGAGATGCGAGCATGCAGGTCGGTCCCGCACTCCCCATGGGCTGTCCCTGGTGCTATGTCCAACCCTGGTCACTCAGGGGCAGGGTGGCTTCAGCTGCCTGGAGCAAGGAGCTTCAAGGAACACAGGGACAGGTCAGCTACTGGGAGGAAAATCAGAGAAGTTTCACTGAAAATGGCTGAAGTGACTTAACTCTGCAGCAGGGCATGTTTAAAGTGTCCACTGGAGACCCTCATAGGATTGTCCCGTCGCAGAGCTGGCTCAATAGCACGTCAGGACTGGAATCGCATCTGCTGAGTTCAGTTAATCCTCCTTCAGCACGTCCCTTCAGCCCCCTTCCCACCACCCCAGCTGCAAGGCGCTGAGCTCTTCTCCCTGGTACCCTGGGTCACCTGGGAACAGCTCAAAGCTGCACCAGGGGAGGTTCACACTAGACATTAGGCACCATTTTTTAACCAAGAGGGTGGTCAAACCCTGGAACAGGCTTTCTGAAGAGGTGGTTGATGTCCCAAGCCTGTTAGTGTTTTAAGAGGCATTTGGACAATGCTCTTAATAACAAGCTTTAACTTCTGGTCAGCCCCACATTGGTCAGGCAGTTGGACCAGGTGACCACTGCAGGTCCCTTACAACTGAAATAGTCTATTGTAGGCAGAGCCTTGGCTCGCTCAGCCCCTAGGGACAAGTGACACCCTCCCAAGCACAGGTCAGGCAGCCAGACAAGAGGACGAGGGGTGGAAGGAAAAGGGGAGAGCAGGCAGGGAGGCTGGAGGCTGTAGCAGACAAGGGAAGGGGATTAAAGGATAAATACTCTTCAAAACCAGCCTGACAGGAGCATATTCCCAACCAGCTGATGCTCCACTACCAAACTCACCCTTTGAGGGCCTCTTGCACAGCAAGAGTGAGGAACTATTTAAAGAGAACAAGATTATATAGCCTTAACCATCATTATCTGAACTCAGCAATATCTGAAAGTGTTTCCAGCTTGTTTAAATTCCATGTGAGTGAAGCACCATAAAACAAAAGCTTCTGATGCCTTCTCCCTCTCTTATCTTATTTACTCCTGAAAGGAAAGCAGAGTTCAGGTTTAGAGCTGCCTTTATCGGGAACCTTTCACATGGAGACATGCAGAGCTCTAACCTTCTGCTACAGGTGAGGCTGAAAAAAAAGCATAGGTGTGCAGGTCACAGGTGTGCAGAGGCTTTTACCCATTTCTTTAGATCACAGGACGGAAGTGCTAACAAGTTTGTGGGACCTGAGGTTTATCACAAGATTTGTGTCTCCTTGAGAGTTGTTCTTGCTGATGACAGAGGCAGGGACTCACTTGGGTAAGGAAGGGGTCTGGGAAAGCTGTGCTCTCACTGGAGGGCAGCCGTCCCTCTACATACAAGCTTGGAGGTCTCTGTTGCTGCCAGTCCCTCACATGCCGTGCTGGCTCCCAGGTAAGTACCGAGTACTACACAGCTCACACTGCATCGCCTGCCCCTTGATCCACACAGGGTGATTTGCACACCTCGAGGACTCCCTCCCTCCTCTCCCTGCAAGCCGCCTTCTCCTTACTCAGTCAGGAAAAAGCCTCTTTCTGAAATCTAGGCAGCTTCTTTCTGTTCTTTCCACTGTACATCAAAGTATTCAAGTCATGTCATCAGTGGAACAACTTATGGAGAGCTCCAAGATGCAACCCAACATTTAAACAGTTCCAGAAATCACCAAGAGGCTGAGTAATAGGAGAGACGTGCTTAGAACGCTGCTAATATCAGTCTCAACACAAATGCTTTACTATTAGTCTCTTTTATTTCAAGGACAGAACATCCTTTCACCCCAGCTCCCTCTGTGAGTTCAGTGTGTAACTCGGGAAACACAACAAGCAGTCACATCCTCTAGAGCAAGAGCTCCAAACAAGGCAATCCCTGCCCAGGCTTTGGGTTTTCCTCCTCTCCCTCCCTGGGTGAGAAGCAAGAACGACACAGAATGTGAACAGCTCCCCCATCCCACACCTGCACGGATGCTTCATTAGCAGTAATGATGCAAATAAATAAATAAAGAGCAGTCAGTATCTTGTAGAGCAGAAGATGGTGACCACAGATCATCTAGAAATTGTTATTGCTATGTACTTACTTAATGGACACTGCAGAAAACTCACTTGGTAACCACCAAGAGAGGTGACAGTCTCAGTTTGTCCTTGTGTTACCAGTTGCTGTTGAACAGAAAGGAGTGGGAGGACAAGACAGATTTTGTTTAATCTGTTCCCTGCCTTAGGGGCCTGAGTTTTCTCAGTGGGACTGAATCTTTGTTATTTGGACGGAAATAGGTGGGGGCAGGGGATATCATGGGCAGGCTCCCAAAACACTTGGAAATTCATCACACCTGCCAGACTTTACCAAGGAGTTCACATATGCTGCAAAGAGCACGTACTGCTAAGCATACTCATTGCTCCTGACTTGCAACAGGAGCTGCTGAGCCACCTTCACTTGGTAAGAAATGCAGGTTCAAATTTCAAAAAGAGCAGGAGCCCAATGTCATCTTGAAAGCTGAGCCAGAGCTGCTGATTCATCAGGGAAAAATCAAGACAAATTAGAGCTATACGACCTATGCATGGGAAGTACCTGTCCTGCCACAAGCACGAGGTCAACCTGACATTTGATTCTACTTCCCTCTGCTGGTGGGACGTGCTGTGATGGTCAGCGTCCCAGTATTAAATCAAGGCAGCTAAAACAAGGTGTAACACGAAGTCTAATACATATGAGACCACTTGTCACCAAAGATTATCAGGTTGACTAAAAGTGATGAGCTCACAGCAGTGTCAGTGCCCACCGTGTCCCTTCCCGCAAGGAGTACTGGCTGGAGAGCATGAGTTTGAGAGGATGAGGAGGACTGCAGGAAGAACCTCAGACTGATGGAGAAGCAGAGGAGTCCTTTGCAGGACAGCCAGAGAAGTCTTTGTTAAGCATCATGGAGCTGGTTCTCTTTGAGGAGAATCTTCTCCCCAGGCTTGAAGGCAGGCATCCCCAGGTAAGGGCAGCTGGCGCAGCGGAACGCATCCCCCAGGTAGCACTGGCAAGAGAATGAAAAGCACCTTCTGTAAGCAGGGGCAAATTCCAGTTCTCTCCCCCTGTGATATGGTTTTTCCAGCTTAAGAAATGACATGCTCCTCCGCATCTATCAGCACAGAAACTGCTTCCCTTCTACCCTCCTCTCAACACAGGTCTGGTTAGCAGAGCTGCGCAGGGCAGGGAGCCCACAGGGAAGAAGCAAGTTTCTGCCCCAGCTGGTGTGCCCAGGTGTGGCTGCAAGCTGGGCTTAGGCAGCCCCTAACTGCCCCCAGGTCCCCCTGGGCTCCTGTGAGGTGATCCTCCTGTAGTAGAGCCCCGGAAAACACACGAGCAGGGAGGGAAAGCTTCCCTGGCCACACCACCTCCTACACAGGTGGCACTGGAACAGGCAGCACGCACTGGCAGGGAGCAGTGGGCACAGGGCAGCAGGGTGAAATATTTGGAAGCAAATCCCAGTATTTGGAAGCAGTAAACCAGTTTAGGGAGCAGTCACTAAAGAACACAGTTCTTGGACACAAATCATGTACTGCAAACCACAGTACAGAAACAAAAATGACTATTTACATTTCCACAGGCAGATTTGGGCTGAGAGCTCTTCTTCTCCTGCTCCAACTCTTCAGCCAGGCCACATGTGCTGTAGAAAAATAAAGAAGTCACCTGCATCTTTCTGCCTAAAGGTTGTGAGTCACCAACACTTGTTCTAGCCCTATTCACACACGACAGCCCTTGTTCTATCTGTCACACAACATAGCTGACTCTGGGACTCTCACTTTGTTCTTCAACACCATCGTTGGTGTAACAAGTGTTGAAACACACTCCAAGTTTTAACTGAGTGGGAAATGACTCTACAAAACTTGTGTGCTATTTCTCCTTGAAATCTGAAAACACAGGGTTTTGGTCAAGGCTGCACAAATTGTGCCTCCACCTTGAATAGGACTGTTAATCATACCAGTGTGGTGATTTGTAGCAGTTTTGGTATGGCTAGTCAATTCTCACTGTATTTGGATTTACATTCAGAGAGACATGAACCAAGAGAATTATACTCTGAAGAACAGCAAAGTGTCTACAACCTTTTTAAAATCCCTCCAACTAAGGGTTTAATGTTAAAAGGTTCACCAATATGCTAATCCCACTACTGACCAGTTCTTGCAGGCCTTCTTTTTGCCCATTTCTTTGCAGGATGGAGCTCTGAGGGATGATGGATCTGGCTTTTTCAAATCCTCTGAATCCAACAGCTCATCAGAGTCCAGAAGATCCTGAAAATACACCATGGAAGATAACATGAGAAAAAACTATTTGTCAGAATGACATTGCTGTGTTATGTTCAAAGAAATGGTGCTATCTGCAGTCCTAGCATTAAAGTGCTGCAGTTGTGCCCTCTTACCCGTGTCTCCTCTCTGCCCTCACCACACCTCTGGGCTCTCAAAATCTCACATAGTAGATGAGATATTTTGCCCTGGGGATGCCTTTCTATCTCTTGAGTTGTAAAGCTTCCCAGTAGGCGTGACAAACTATTTAGAATAGGAAAGAAGAGAGAGAAGGAACAACAGCAAAGTCTCACAAACAAAACCAGATACCGTCTCTTCATCATTCATATCGCTGGCAGAGAGCGTCCACAGCTTGGCGGCGGCTGGGTCCACAGAGGGTTTCCCTGAAGCCAAAACAAAGGAAGAAACAGTAGTTACTGAAACCTTTTCCCCATCTGCAGGAGAGCTGAGCATGCACACGACCAACGTGATCAAGCAATGCCCGTTTATTACAACTAAGAAAGCCCTTTTATAATGTTCTCCCGCACACGTGAGTAACATGCAGTACAAATCCTCAAGATTGGACAGTTAACTTAGCCCGCGCTTTAAACCTTCTTATGACTGGATAAAAAGTGCCACATCAGCCTTGCCAGGCTTCCTGCCTCGTGTAACTTCCTCTTCCATCCCAACCCCTTCCGAGGGTTGTTTGTCTCCTCGAATTTCTCCCCCCTCATTCAGGGTCACATCCTTATCGCATTCTTTCTCAGGCTGAGGCTCTTATCAGTGTTGTTCTCACGAAGGATTGCTCACATGTCCATTCTCTTACACAAATTCCTCTTGAATCCCAACACCCATCTACTCGCAACAAATAGAGTTCAAACAACTTTGGAAAGCACCACTTCACAGGTTTTTACTGTAGTACTCCCTACCCCAGAGCTGTCTCCCTATTTCAAGGGATACCTATCACCGAGAGGCCGGCAATCCAGGCATTTAGCACACACTGCTCCTTACCTGAAGGACCAGGTTTCTTGGCAAAGGAAAGTTTAAGCTGACTTGAGGATCCCACTTCAAAATTGGGCTTCCTGCCTTCTATCTGAACAATGAGAAGGTCATTGCCTTGGTAACCCAAATGCTTTTGGACAGACTGCACCTCCTCTGGGGTCAATGCTTCCTTTTGCAGCTGCAATATAAGATTTTTAGGTTAACCTCATGGAGAACCCCTTATTCCAGCACCCAGTCCAGCATTCCAGTGAACACAGACAATCAATATTTTCAGTCCTAAAGAAAAGCACTACATTTGCAGTAACTAAAGTTTGTGGCAGGCAGTGTCCATGCACATTTACAGTAAACCAGGATAGCTAAACACCTTGTCACCTAGCAAGTCCCCAGGAATCACCATCTACATGTCAAGGTAACTGCAGGAAGGAGTTTCTGGAAGCAGTTAGTACATACATACCTCTTTCACTTCCACCAACCCAGAGAGAGTCAGAGCTGTGGGGAGTTTGGCCACTGTCTTGATTCTGCTGTTGTTTCCTGCATGATACAAAAGCAGGAAGTAGGAGGAGGCAAGAACAAAAATAGAGGTCACTAAGAGCTTTATAAGGAAGTACTCAAGCCAAACCTCTGCTTTAAAGTTGTGCCCTTTCCAGTTGACAACAGGAACAAAACAGAAAGAGCATCAGCAGCTTGTTCATTAAAATAACAGCCCAGGATGACAAAGCCATTCCAGCTTCAGATGTGTTCTTATATATGCCAAAACTTTCTTCAACCCAATTTACACCAACCAAAAAAAAAAGGAAACAAAAAACCACCCCAAAACCCAAACAACAAAATCTCCCAAGTGAATAACTCATGAAGTTTTCAAACCATGGACTCCTAAATGAACATTACAGTCAGAATCATAACATTCAGAATGTTCTCATAGGCAAAAGCTACTACTATCTCTGTTTAATCAAAAACTCATTACAGGCTTCTTCTCTTGGGCACAGTATTGTGCTGAACAAAATAATTCACACTCTCTCACTAGTCCCATTTGCACTTTGTTCCAAGTCCACCAAATTCCAGCCTGTCAGATGTGAATTTGGAAAAAAGAAACCTCATCTATTCCAGACTGTGAGTGTTCTTTGTTCTTCCCCAGAAGTGTTCTCCCTACCCCTGAAGTACCATTTGCACCATAGAGCCACTGTCAGCTTCAAAGCACTGGCAAATCTTCCCAATCTGAAGAAGGTGTTTCCACTACCACTTACAGCACCATTTTCAGCACTGTAGATTGTGTCAATAGAAACATCGTCAGCATAGATTTTTCTGTTCTTATCACGTGGCATATTATTTCCCACTTCCATACTGAACTAGTTCCCTATGCCTGCAAAGTCTGAATGCAGGTCAAGTATAAGACAGAAATAATCTTGTGTTGACCTCCTCATGTGCTCCTCCAGCTGTCCCAGCTCTGGCTTTACTCTTTAAACTTAGCCCAAACACTTCTACCTTTTCAGGATAACTATTTCTTGGCTGACTTCTGGGACAGCCTCTCTCAGCATTTGTCACCCATTTTTAAAACCGCTTCAGAAGCTCCTCAGAAACACATCTGCAACTATTTAAGATTACATGCTCTAGAAGACGACCAGTGGCGCCACTGAGCTTTTCAGCGTAGTGTAGGAACAAGCCTACCCAGCACCTCTGACACAAGGAGAGTGACTGCAAACATCTCTGACAGCTACCAGTTTAAACCCAGGATAAAAACCTTGCTATTCAGGTTAGTGTGTCAGAATAAAAATCTCTGAGTGTCGGTCAGGGTTCCTGCCCTTTCCATTTCAGCCTAGTCCTCACAAGAATTGCTATGTTGTCGTGAAGGTAAGGCTGATGCAGATTCTCTCACCTGATTCTGTAACCACTGGTTCTTTCAGGAGGACACGGCCCCCTGGCTTAAGTATCCGAGCTATTTCTGCCAGTACCTCTGCACTGTGCTGTGCTGTACTGCCTGGTACCACACCAGAGAGAATGACATCGAAACTGGATTCCCTGTGAGCTGCTGAAAAGAAAAAGTGGAAGATGGTAAAATTTTGCACATATATACAAACAGCTTTGCTTAATACATCAGTTACATCCCCCTCCTCACCCCTCCTGCTTCCATACAACAGCAGTAACCAATTAAAGACAGCAGTCATGGGAAGCACAAGCAGGGTATATCACTTTCTTTGCTGTACTGCCAGCACTAAGAGTTCGCTCTAGGTGCTATCGTTGTTCTGAATGCTGACTTACAAACCAGGGAAGATGTCAGCTCACACAACAGAAGCACCCTCTCCCTTTAAGCAAAACTGAAAAATTAAGCTCATTCTTACACCGAGACAGCTGGTCAATGTTTTCCACAGAGACACGATTATCAGGTCCCACCAGTGTCTGAATTTTATCGACCAAATCCTTCAGGGCTTCAACCGGTGAGGAGCTGTCCCAGATGATGGCCACGCGCTGGCCTGGCATGACTCCATACTCCCCCATTTCCACAGCAGCAGCAAACCTGACAGTGGCAGAGAGAGGAACAGGCTGGGGGAAGACAGAGAGGAAGAGTAAGTGCCAAGCGCAGCGTGAACCTCTGTGGACTGTGACTTAAGCACAGAGCATCAATTCATTTCAATAAATGAGGATTATTTTCTGGAGACAGGCACTTGCACAAGCTGAGTGTTAACATGACACTAAGAAATCACTGCACTTAAGGGCATAATTCAGTCCCTCTCCAGTTCAGAGACTAATTTTGCAGGGAGACCACAAGCCATGCTTAAAACAAAAAAAACCCCACAATTTACCTGCTTTCCTTAAAGATTTGAAAAGAATCATACACAGAATTTCTGGATTTCCAGACTAGTGACAACTATTTGACATTAAACACTGCCTTGTCTCTCCCACTCAGGACATGACCTAGCAGTAAATGAGAAGAAAAAAAAAAAGTACCTTTCAGCATTCAAGATTGAGGGTCTTTCAGCTCTTATCATTGGTGGTGCTGAATGAGCAGTTACACAGAGGGAGGAGGGGAACAGAATGTGTAGTGAAGTGACAGTTTTGAAAAATCTGTCTGCACTGATATTTTACAAAAGCCTGTATTCCTGACAGAGTCCAAAGAAAATCTGCACTATAGAAGTGTTACAACAATATCATACCATCCCCTGTACACATCACAGCACCAGCTACTGAAACAGATTATAGAAACGGCTGGAAAAACCCTTGGTTGGAAAACAATTACAGTTGGAAAAAACCCTTGAAGCTCCTCCAGTCCAACCATGACCCTCACCCTGACCATTCCCAACTTCACCAGATCCCTCAGCACTGGGTCAGCCCGACTTTTCAACCCCTCCAGGGATGGGGACTCCCCCTCTGCCCTGGGCAGCCCATTCCAACGCTCAACAACCCCTTCTGCACAGAAATCCTTCCTCAGAGCCAGTCTGACCCTGCCCTGGGCAGCTTGAGGCCGTTCCCTCTTGTCTTGGCGCTGGTTCTTTGGCTCAAGAGACTTATCCCCCCTCTCTGCACCCTCCTGTCAGGGAGCTGTAGAGGGCCAGGTCTCCCCTCAGCCTCCTCTTCTCCAGACTAATTCATATAATAATTTCAAGACCATTCAGAGCCCAAACTACATCAACAGCAACACCAGCCTGCATCACTCCCTCAAGATGCAATCTAAAGAAAGCAGGAAGCTACTGTAGTCCTCAAAGACATGACATTACCCCTGCCTTCAGTTAGTGTCAAAGCTGGTAGTTAGTTACCATTAAAGCATGCACAGTCACGTTCCTGATGGGATGATGGGGAGGATATTTTTCCACTCTTATGTTTTCCAGTAGTAGGTGGAATATATATGAGCAAAGACAGCGACCAGGCGCTCTCCTCCATCGCTGCACAGAGGGTCATGGTCGGCCGGGACCAGGCTGCTCTGTGCCACGCCAGGGAGGAGGCCCAAGGGCTGCGCCGGAGCAGACACTAGGCTGCCGGGGGGGAGAAGGCCTCATCTTAATGTCACACACATTTAAGAGGCCTTGAGGATCACGACTGCCCAAAACAGGGCAAGAAAGAAGCATTAAACAATATTACAGGTTTTCAGCTTGCATAGATTAAAAAGCTACAGGATACAGCGCGTCAAAACTTTTAAGTGAAAGCGTCCTGAGCGCTCCGCACCCTCCGGCACAGGTCAGGCGGCTTCCAGCGCCCAGGACGCAATCCCAGGCTGCAGGCAGCGCCTGCGCTGGCCCTACAGCGCCTCACCGCCTTCAACACATCCCCTCACACAGGCTGAGCAGAACAAACCTCCAAACCGCAGAGCCGGGAACAGCTGAACGGGGACAAGGAACGAGATACGCGAAAGAATTCCACACAGAAATTCCACAACCCCCGTCGCGACCACCTCGAAGGAGGCCTCAGGAGGGAGTTTTTATGGGGGAAAAAGGGGAGTCTCGACCAACACGGAGGCTGCCCCGGCCCCGGCCCCACTCACCTCCGCACGCGCCCGGCC